CTGATTGACCGAGACTTCAGTCCGAGGAATTGCGACATGCTTCGGATCCGGATTCGGCCACATCTCGGTGACGCAGCAGCTTCGGTACGCGAGGCGAGGGTGATGTGGTCGACTACTGTTCATGCGAATTTTTCGAATTTTGAGCCCCGAACTTCTAAAATCCATAACTTTTGCATACAAGCTCCATTTTTTACGTTCTTTATATGCACGCGTAGCTAAAATTACGCTCTACAAATTTCTTTTAGACTTCATCGGCTAATTTTTAATTTAATTTTAATATTATTATTTTTAACAGACCGGGATAGGAAAATCCGTTAAAAATTCATAACTTCTTCATCCGACGTCCGTTTTCGTCAGTCTTTTTACCGTTGTACTATTATTGACGAGACTTTCGATTATTGTTTAGGTTGTGTCGGCTAAATATCACTCGATCTTAAATTTGAGTATTTAGTTTTCTACTGCTAAGCTAAAACTTAGAAAAATCATAACTTCCTCATACGAAGTCAGATTTGGACGTTCTTTTTATCAAAATTCTCGGTTTAACGAATACTGTGACTTTCGTTTGGATTGCTAAGGCTAAAAAGCACTTTATCGTAAATTCACTTTTTTTACACTTCCCGGTGTCGTGCCGGTTCTGTCGCGAAACTTCGACAGGTCATAACTTCTTTGTTATAACTCGGATTTCGGCGTTCTTTATATCTCCGAAATCCTTGTTTCGGCCACTACCACTTTCTTAAAAGATATCGCCTTTTCTAATATTTATTTTCAATGCTTATTTTCATTATTAATATAATTAAATCATAATAATTAAGCAAATAAGCATATAATTCACATGATATTCACATAATTCCTCTTTATTACTTCAAAATGAGTTACAAAAGTTGACCTAGACTATTACAACATTATTAATGTTTTAAGCCCAGAAACACGGGCGTTACATTCTTCATGGTCATCGTATGAGAAACTCATCCTTAGTGTTGACGAGTTAAACAGGAATTTAACGATAATGATGATTTAAATCAATACCTATAAAATAGTAGTAGTCAAATGCTAGTAGACAGTTGTTAATACCTATAAAATAATAGTCAAATTACAATCGTGAGTCCGCAATTCACTATACGATAAGACAACACATAAAATAGTAGTCAAATGCTAGTAGACAGTAGTCAATACCTATAACACAGTAGTCAAATTACAATCATATGTACGAAGTTCACTGTACGACAAGACAACACATAAACTAGTAGTCAAATGCTAGTAGACAGTAGTAAATACCTATAAAATAGTAGTCAAATTACAATCATGTGTCTGAAATTCATTGTACGATAAGACAACACATAAAGTAGTTATCAAATGCTAGTAGACAGTAGTCAATACCTATAACAAAGTAGTCAAATTACAATCATATGTTAGAAATTCATTGGATGATAAGACAACACATAAACTAGTAGTCAAATACTGGTAGATAGTAGTCAATACCTTTAAAATAGTAGTCAAATTAAAATTATGTGTCTGAAATTCATTGTACGATAAGACAACACATAAACTAGTAGTCAGATACTATTAGACAGTAGTCGATACCTATAAAATAGTAGTCTAATGGCAGTATATAATTGAAGATGTATTTACATGTCAACACTAATAAAAATTTACTTCTCATAAACCAAGAAAATGACAATTTGCAGTTGTAGGGTTCAAGGTATTATAAGGACCTTAAGAACTACAAACAACCTTGGACGGTTATTTTACGCTTGTCCTAAAGAGGTATTTGGGTTATCATCTAATTATTTATATTATAATTTATTATGAATATTTACACAATATACATAATTTTTTTGCTATTTATTTACCAGCCACCACATTCTGGGTTTATTTGTTGGGTGGATGAAGCAAAAGACAATAATTCGTTGATAATTTCTAACTTAGCTCGATCGAAGAAGAAGCTTCAAAGCAAAATACTACACTTGAAGATAACATTACTTTGTAGTTGGATTTTCTTTTTTGGTGTTGTTGTCCACAAGTTGTAAAATGTAAAATGTAATGTATGTTATTATTTGTAATCATTTGTGTTTCCATCTATAGTAACTTGTTGTGCTATCCTTTTCATATTATTTTGTACAAGTTGTAATCTTTTTTTTTCTGATTTCGTTAAATTGTAGAACACATTTTGTTTACAAATAAAAAAGTCAAAATGAACAAACATAAACATTGCATTGAGTAACCGATAAAACAACATGATTTCTGGAATATCAAATATTTATTTCTTCAGATAGAAATTAGACTTAGGGAAGAGAAGTTATACCATAGATAAGCTTCCTACCATAGAACTGTTTGTTCTTCCTCATCCAGATGTGCATTTTCGATTTCGCGATGAATTCTATGAAAGTGCTTCACATATCGTTTGACTTGTAACATTTTTTATTTTACATCTTTTTTTGTCTGGTAATAACCTCGACCCATTTCAAAATGAAATAAGTGAAAGATGCGACTCCAAAAAGAACCAATACGACATTGTGGGGGACCATGCAGATAAGCTTCTTCTATGATGGTAACCAAGCACGTATCAGAATGCCTTCTTCTTGGGTGTTCCATGTTAGTGGTACAATAGGATACATTTTTATGATACAAACTAATGTCATATGGCAGAATTGTTATATAGACAATTAAAGAATGTTGTAAGGCGCATATAGTACATGCTATTCTGTGAAATAAATTACTTGACATTAAAACACATCATATGTATCTAGTTTACTTTTGGAAATAAATTACTCATTAGAATAAAATTACTTGACATTAAACACATCATAGGTATCTAGTTTACAATACAATACTCATTAAAATACAATTACTTGACATTAACATAACTAGATTACTAAATATAGGTAAACCGAAAACTCTTACAGATTTTTTTCCCTAACCAACCACTAATAAAAAGCAAGATACGGATATATTACCTTAAAATTACAAATAAAAGACATACATAGACATATATTACCTTAAAATTACTTCAACTAACAAGCACATTATTAAAATACTACTCATCTTCATCACACATCGGAAACTCGTACGGATACTCTTTTTTCATAGCAATGACTTCCTGTTTTTTCTCCAAATAGTACTCATGAAATGCTAATTCATTCTTTAGCTTTCGAAAACTTTATTCACTAGATCAGATTGAACTCTCGGTAGATTGGATTTCATGCCTAGTACTTATAATCCAATTCCTTTTACGGTCAATGTCATCCCAATAGTTGTCTAGAAGGTTTCGTTGGAAACGATAATCTTCAAAAGCCTTATCCACATCAGCTTCTCTTTGTAACAACACTTTTTTCACTTCCTCATCCGTCTTCTCCTCTAACATAGGAAAATCGACATGGGGAAGGGGATTGGTTGAAACGTTATGGGAATTTGACTCCAAAGGAGGCTTATTGTTGGACGTAGATGACCAATTAAGTTTTGCCAGGATCCTTTTCATCTCCTTTGATCTTTCTGTCATTTTCACACTTTAGTTTTGTTTTTATTGTTTCTTTGATTTCTGAATTGATAACAAATTTACATTAAATATGACATTAGATAATAGTCAACGGCTAGAAGATAATAGTCAAAACCTATAAAAAGTAGTCAATCGAATAAATTAGTAGTCAAACACTAACAAACAGTAGTCAAAACCTATAAAAAGTAGTCAAATAACAATCATGTGTTGAATATTCATTGTACGATAAGATTACACATGAGGTAGTAGTCAACGGCTAGTACACAGTATTCAAATCTTATAAGAATGTAGTCAAATTACAATAATGTCTTGGTACGATATGACAACACATGATATAGTTATCAAAAGCTATTTAACAGTAGTCAAAGCCTATAAGAGAGTAGTTAAATTGTCAATTGTATATAGAGACTTATATGTATGCGTTTGAGATTTACAAAAAATCGTATACTACTGGTTATTCTATAACCCTCATACACATACAATCATGTCCACCTGTCTAGAAAAATGGTGGTTGATGCCACAAGAGAAGCGTTTAAAATGTTAATAAAAGAAGAAGAGATCAAGAACGAGATTAAAGGCATTGAAGAAGATAGGAAACGGTTGGATAACTTACAAGCCGATATTTGGTCTAAAATGAGGTCGGTTCAAGACAAAGAACGCAACATAAAAACTGCAAGGGTCTGAGTACGAGATGCAATAGACTACGCCAACAAAGAAGAGGTTAAAATGGAAAATATTCTAAAAAACATAAAAAAAAATTACGGGGTGATTCAAGAAAAAGCAAAATTTCCAAATGTTTGAATTTAATAATTCTTGATTAATCAAGTAGTAAGTTTATGCATTACTTATGAGTTTATCTATGTAATAAGTTTTATATTTTCTTGTTTATTATGATTAATCTATATAATATGTACTATTCTCTTGCTAGTTTGATTATGTTTAATAATACATTTGTTTAACATAAACGAAAATAGAACGTTACCAATCGTCATGAAACAGTACATATTGAATGTCACTAAAAACCTACAACTCGGACTAACTAAAAATCACCTTTCTAGAAGATCCATAATATATCATACCCATCCTATAGCGAAACTGAGTAGCAGCAACAACATGTGTCATCGATATACCAATAGGTCGTCCTGAAACAAGCTGCTCCATATACATCAACATAAATACACCGCACTCTACAAACATCCCTTCTTGTTGGGGCACGTCTGTAACATCCATAATAGTGATGGATACTTTCTGAACAGGCAAATCCATGTGGTTCCACTAGCCAATGTCCAGCAGAATGCTGTCCATGAGCTCTTCAAACCGCACAAAATCAATAATCTTCATGGAGCCAAATAATCACAAGTTGTCGTACAAATTCAACAATAGCGTGTCCATCCATAACTCGCCAAGCACCCAATGATGTGGGTTAATGCATATTAAAAAATAAACTTGTTTTAACACACAACAGATGTAATTAATTACAATGTTTAATTAGTGTAATATGACAATTAAATTGACTCATATATATATATATATATATATATATATATATATATATATATATATTATTTTTTTATTTACACGATCAACTTCTAACCAAGATTTACATCCATCCAATGGGTCAAACTGATTTCCATTACACTTCCTGCCCACTGGAACATTTCACATGCACCAAAAAATGACGATGACATGATTGTCCATCGAGCATCGTTCGGTCTCCGCTCATTCAAAAGCATTCTCCATATGTCAACATGCTGCATTCAAATCTAATTTAAACATAAGGAGCTTATAAATTATTTAAATTTTAAATATAAAGGAATGTCTTCATACCGCTTCATCTAAAAATCCCAAGTCACTTACATAAAAAAGCAGATCCCAAAACTTTGCTTCCATTTTTTCATTGTATAACCGATGTTTCAAAAAAACAACCGGTTTGTTTCCCATGAATAGAGCAGGAACGATACAACTCGGATTCACATACGGCTCCAATAAAAGTGTCGGGGATCGCTAACAAATACAGGGGTGGTGGTTCGTTGCGTATTACCCCACTTGTACGATCTCGGGGGCATTTTGAACCTACATTATATACGTAGTCAATAACTATTCATATAGTAATAAAACTATAGTAAGTATAATTTTTAACATACTTATCGAAACGTATGGAGAGCTAAGATATTGAGAAGGTTTCAATAGCCTAACCGGACGACTTGGTTTTGCAATAGGAGGCTCGGGTATATGATTTTCCGCATCCACACTCTTGCTAGAAACAACCTTCTTTTTCTTTTTCTTCTCCTTCTACAAAAAACATATTATTTTTTTAATATACTTTGAAAAAATAAAAAGTTTAATATACAAAAAAAACTATAACCTCCTTCACGATTTGTTTTTGTTTTCTACAATCAAACTCTGGTGGATTATCAACATCATCATCCTCGTTTACTCGATTTGATACCCGTGGACTACCATCCACATTCTCATTCCTCTACATTTAAAGAAAAAATAATTAATAAAAAACTTCGTTAAAATATTTATTAATGCATCATATATCTTCAAATTGATTGTAAATTTCTAAAATTAATTGTTTTACCTCAAAATCCCCGTTAAAAAATTCTTCCAAGTCATCATCATCTCGAGATCCCCATTTATTTTTCATTCATGGGATTTCTTCCTCCAAAGATTAAAGTCTTGCCATTATTCGTGGTTTTTTTGTTAATTCCCATCGTATGAGTTCCTTCGGTGGACTTAATAGATTGGTTGTTTCCACAAGATGGATCAGACGAAGATGCCCCCTACATAAATTATTTGATATATCAATAATAGTTGAAAATTTTAATATACCAGATTCTAATTTTACCATTTTACTTACATCTTTTCTAAAGTTGTAGCGTACCGAAGAAGAGACATCAGACGATTCACAATTCATATTAGTAATATATGACAAATAATGTGGAGTAGAGCACTCGATATCTGAGGCAAGCATCTTTTTTTTGTGTAGATGCACCTCGTCCTGATCAACATCGAAAACATCGCAAACTTTCTCCCAAGTTAACATCCTAATATGAAACCATCGCAAGATACGAGGATATAAATGATTTTGTCGTATCGCAGCATTTCCCCGAACTATTTGGAACATTTCTCATATCCATATCTTGTAATAAATATACATTAATTTATAAGTATTAGCTCTAACTAAAATTATCAAAAAATAAAAACCGGAAAATTTAAAAATATTTTTTTACCTTCAAAGGAATAACAAAACCCGATAATGTATATACATAAGGGTTTGTTGGATGTTTGGACATATGATCCGCAAATTTATTAAACATACCCGTCAATCTTGGGTATGTTTTAGTCCATAGATAACTCCCCCACGAGAACCTACATTATATGCAAAAGTATTAGTTAAACGTATAAAAAATAGTATTTTATTATAAATATTAAATTGACAAATACTTATTCCATTGATCCAGGTTCCCCACCACCCACAAAAATTCATTGGTGATTTTATCATTTTCGCCCTATCCTAAAAAACCTTGATTGAGGATATATAGCAAAATGGCATGGACACCTTCGTGAGCCGATATATCATTGAACCGTTGATTCAAGATAAGGAACTCTGAATCTTCTACAAGTAAAGTAGTGTATGTGCGATATGGGAAGACTTTGGACCGAAATTTATTTTCACCGTATCCGTGTTTATACATAGTTAAAAATTCGATCATTGATCTAAGACACCGACCCATGTAAAGTCCGGACACAAGACAAAACCCTCAGGCCCAAATGACAGTGTACGCCTAGAAAACCTAAAATGTAGACACTCAGCTGTGTCCGTTTCAGCAGTAGGATGCAACATATGCAGTACCAACCCATGAATAATAAGTCCGTCTTCAGACTAAGATGGTAGGTCCAAAAAGTAACCAGAGCTAGTTCTTGAAAAAATATCTCGCACGGGTCCGTACAAGCTACTCAAAACTCCATGCAACTTATGACATGAAACTTTGACAGATATGTTACACATCATCCGTTTGTTTGGAAACTACAAAATTAAATAAACATTAAGGTTAAATAAGGTTTTATAAAAGAAAAACAGTGTTAAAGAAATAGAGAAATCACACAATATAACAATTAACCATTTCATATATTCTATTTACTTTGTATAAAATACCAAATTAAATTAATTGACAACATTTTTTGTATTTTCTATATTAATAGTATACCAAATATGACATTATACTTTGAAAATAGTGTGATAATAACATATCTTGTAACAAACTCGAAACTACAAAAACACAATATTATTTTATCAATACATTATACTTTAAAGTGTCTACCCATTATAAATATAGAAACTTCTTCAAATGGAAAGTACATTGCTATTGTATGCTATAATCGAGACATAAAAAATAACATACTTTATCACAAAATGAAAACATGGAATCATAACAAATACACAATTGTTAAAAATCCATAGAAACAATATTTTTTTGAAGAAAAATGAAAAAAATAAATTAAAGTCCTAGGTTTTAGGAAACCTATGCTTTATAACACCAAGTTACTGGTGCGTTTACAAATGTCAATGTGCAAGCGACTTGCAAACTACAACTCACATGTCTCCGTTTCAAGAATATAAGATATTATCGTCTCACAATCACCCGTGATAAAATTCGTGAAGTGATCCACGTGAGCGTGGGTTTAATTCAATACTCAAATCTAATTTCATGAGTACTCGTGAACACTGCAGCAGACTTTTGCTATGTCTAAAACACTTCAGACAATCTACAGTCAAATTCATGACAGTCTTGCCTCAATACCTATTTCCAAAGTATGATCGAATGTGGATGGTTTGAATAATATTATTATTCTGGAAGTCAAAACATGCGAAGTGAAACACAAGAATAATCGAACCTAATATGGCCTCAAACTCTTGAGTATAAATAAAAAAACCTTTTATTTAATCACCATATCGATTACACATTATTCATTGTATAATGTTTCGGATAATCAACTTAATACTTGAATTAAAACAATAGTCATCTCATGCTCCAAGCATGCACACTATGTTTACTTATGGTCCTTGCTTTGTGAAATAGATCAATTGAACACATTTCCAATGATACTCATTTCACAATTCCCAATCCTTATCATAAGTGTAAGAATACCAAATTCTTGATATGTATTAGATTCTAACATTTTACGCAATGATCCTTTTGTAATGACATAGCCCCAAAGTCATAAAGACTTTGCCAATGATATTATAAAGTGCTCTATTGGAGATTATTCAATATACATGAAGTCTCAAATTCAAAGTACATTCCTTTGAACATTCTTCTTGCATAAAAGTTTCTAATCTACATATTATTAATATCCAAATCCCATTGTGGAAAGATTTCCATATTTGCCATATAATAACACATTCTAAACAGAATCCTATCTGCTCATAATAATGGCAGTATGGTCCATCTATTACTATACTTCTAGCTGCCTACAAGTGACAAATCCTTAGAAAACCTTATATTGTACTTAACAGTTGTTTAATATACTTTAGTCATATACGGTTCTGGTCCTTTTCCTTCTTAATGCCCCAGGCATTTGGAAATGACATAACGGTCGAATATTACATCATATGCAATCAATCCTATATCTGAAGCGCATGGGATACGATTCATAATTTCTTAGATAAATACATGATACTTTACTAGTCTCTTGCTACAATATTACCATATATAGAATTCCCTTATGTTGAATCTTTTCAACGTAACATTCATATATGTCCTTTGACTAAATTTGATTAAAATTTCTCAATCTAAGTTTTTATATTTGAAATGAAGTGTAATATTCTCTCCCTTAATTATAGAAAAACAACCTTTCAACCACTGCAACTTTGCGAATTGAAACTTCTGTTTTCTCTAATTAATATTGCTAACTCGCAATACTTTACATAATAATCATGCTCCCACTTTCATGATACTTATATCCTTACCAACATAACACTTATGCTCCCACTAGCTTTGACATGTATTCAGAAATCAATTGGACTTCTAGAAATCAATACTTATTGACTTTCTTACCAAAGTTCAGATTTCTGACACGAGATGCTTCGATAAGCCTTTATCTTAGCTTCTCAAACCCACACACCTTTCATTAGAAAGCTCATAGGTGTGTCTAAACTATTTCAGAACTCACAACAGTAAGTCCCAAATGTTTAGGCTATTTTCCATTTCTCACAATTCAAACTATGAAGATGGATGCCGTAGTCATAATCGAATTTGAGAACGCAATTTACACTACAGCTAACTCCTTAAAATCTTTCTTAGTGAAAGCGTTTCCTCACATTCATTTTCATGAAGTGGAGAGAAACCTTACCATTTAGATTTTATGGTGTTTGTGATAAATCCAACTCATATGGACAGAACTTGTTCAGTCTTAATTTCTTGCCATCAAGGGTCCCACCATTCTTTCCAAGTTATTGAGCAGCTCACCCCTACATATCAATGTACTTTCCATTGATCAAGGTGCTTTTCCTTATGAAACCAAGTGAGAACTCATAGAACTCACATGCATAGTTGACTTAAAACTTGAATAGCACAGAATTAAGAATATGTCAACATGATAGGTTATAAACCTCAAGTCGTGTGCTAGTGATAGATAATAGGTTTACTCTTGATTAGTTCTTGAACCTTATCAAGATCTTTAAGACTCCCACTGACCTCTTGACATATATGATTCTCTTTTTAAGAGACATTTCTCGAAAAACAAATATTCAAGAGTTAGTGCGGATTCTTATCAAGACAAAACACAACACACAATTGGTCTTAGTTGGTCTTTGTCTTATCCAAAGACATCATAACTTACCAATTTCAAATCTTCATGAGTGAGAAACATTTCTACTCCACATTTTATGATATGTTATAAACCTACTTAAGACATGTCACTCAAAACACAATCTTGAAGTACGACTCTGATACTTGATTTTGGAATGAAGTATGATTCACCTATTGATTTAACCATTTCAACAATTTCCAATTCCTCTTCCTAGCCATACCAATGCACTAAGGTTTCCTTAGAGGATCAATTGTGATATAGTTTCATAATCACTAAGATGGTCACAAAACATGATACTTAAGTACTCTTCATTCATTTCATATTGGAGAAACTTATATCTTTCTACATAATTAATTCTTCTTATTCGTTCTGTTATACATTGAAACATTTCAATGTATTAGAATTATACTTAATCTTGTAAGCATAACCATATTTACTAAACTTTTAGAAAATCATGACAAACATTCTTATCGTTCTTTGTGGTGGACTTGACCAGTGCACAACAATGTGTACTAGATCTTACAGTCCTTCACTTGACTCACATACTTGTGTGAACAAGGAAGTAGTCTTAATTTCCCAAATACGAAGGTTCTTATTCAACATACAATACCAGTTGCATGATTCCAAGTTTCTGTCCAATTGAAACTTGGGTGATGAGAATCTTTCTTTATTTGGTAAGTTTTTGACACTACCACAAATAACATTACTAAGAATCACATCCTTTTCAATATTGCTAACAATAGAAACATATAAACATCAATTTTCACAAATGCCATTGCAAGGAAATATAAATAAGACAAAAACAAATTTTATTTTATTTATAAAAATGCGGAAACAACTTGTCCTTACCATGTAATGTCAAATGAAAACGATGTTACTACAGATTCCTAAGCAATCTATCCTAACTCTTCTAAGTAGCAGCTCAAAAATCTGATCTTCGAACCACACGATCGAAATCCATTTCTTCATGATCAGACTCAACTCACTCTTCCTTTTAAGCTTCCTTTCTTTTCTTTGATCCTACAGAATATCTGTCACACCCGAAAACCCGAACGGTAGAAACGTTCGGGGGCGAAGGACATCATGTTTAGTATCACAAGAAATGTATCATAGTAAGCAAAGTAATGAATAACCATTTCATTAGAAATAAAGTGTTTACAATGTGTGTGTTCACAAAACATAGAATACATAATCAAATAACAAAACAAGACTTGAAGCTACTAAGCTCCATCTTCTGAATTCCCAGCGCGAGTACCTATCTACTAGTTTCCTGTGAATACAAGTTATTTGAAAGAGTTTATCAGCAATTAA